TTTTTCCTTTATTATTTCCTGGTAATTCATATCTTTTTTTTTTTATAACTAATAATTCATTCTTTACTCCGTCTTATCTTGTTTATTTTGGCGCTTTGCAAAAACCTTGGAGCTTTAGGTTAACTTAATAGTATAATATGTTTGGGCCATTTCACATTGTTGCGCCACTAATGTGCTTTGAGGTTTACTCACTATATCTATATTATTGGACCATTACTCTTCAGTTGATGCACTTTTTTCTTTATTATTCTTTATTTAATTTATCGTCTATTAGTATCAAATATAAGGCAAAATTATCTATAATTTCAAATAATGCAAATTCTTTCGAGAATCACATTTTTACTTTATTGATTTCGGGAAAATTTATTACACAGTTTCAGGCTTCAAGATCATAAAGAAAATTTTAACCTTTCAGGTTTCAAGGATTCGAAGATTAATGAAGATTATTTAATCTATATTATATACTTCAGCATGATCTAAACTATGTTCTGCATAACGATCCGATACTTTCTGATCATCTTTCAGTGACCTTCTCTAACCTACTGTTATATAACAAAGATCCCGAACAGTTTGATGCTTTTATAAACTGTGATGATCATCAGTTTAGAAAACTAGTTTACCCATTATCAAAAAAAAAAGTCAGAATAGTTTTTCGAGTATTACAAACAATCAAATTTTACTTCACTAAACTATTTTAAAAAGCCAGAGTTTCTGACGGCTAAGGAGGAGTATTTGGCAGTGAAAATTACGTATACCATTATATAAAGTGGAGCTTAAAATATTTATATCATAAATTTACAAGGTATATTAAAAGAATTAAATTAAAATATTTGATTTTATTTTACTGAATATACTTTTTAAAAACTAAGTTTATAAATTATATACAATTAAAGAATAGTGCACTTAAAGTATGACTAACTCAAAACACTGAAACAAATGAATATTTGATAGCTTTAGTTTTAAAAGAGATAAACGTAAGGGAAAATGTGCAAATATAATGTTTTATAATTGGTGTCAGATATGTGATCTTCAGAAAGCAACACAAGGATGGACGAGTAGAAATAAAGATGTTGATGTTTATATTAAATAACTTCCACTTAAGCTACAGAATACGTTGATATGATTGAATGGATTTCTTTTAACAGATTAGGTAACATTCAACAGATCAATGATGGATTTTTAGCATCCTGGTTAGATGAAATACGAGTAATTCAAGGTAGACGTAGGGAACATATACAATCACATACACAATCATATATAAAGTTGACTTAAAATGTTTAGATTGCTGAATTTATTAGACATATTAAAAGAAGTTAAAATGTTTAATTTTCATTACTTCACAGATATAGTTTAATATATTATCATTAGAAATAAATTTATAGATTATATACAATTAAGGAATAATACACTTAAAGTATGTGGATTAACTAAAATTCGACTACGAATGAATATATGTTAGTATTTGATAAATTTGGCTCTAAAAAAAAGTTTTATTACGGAATTTGTGTAAATTGCAACCGATCACAAGCCTGGTGTCAAAAATGTGACCCTCAGAAAACAAAATGTAATTGAGTGGATTCCTTTAAATAAATTAGATAAAATTCAACGGATCGATGATGAATTTTTAGCAATTTGGTTAGATGGTATAAGTTAAAGGTATAACTAGTAAAGCTTGCACACATCACGTACAGTACACTGGTATTCATGGTTAGACCTTAAGATTTTAACTGAATCACAAAATTTATTAAATATTTTAAAAGAAGTTTATATAATTTATTACGTATTTCAGTTATCTATTAATAATGTGTAATTATTAATTTTATATTTCTATAAGTTTAAGAATCAAATGCAATTAAAAAATGATGATCTAAAATACTTGGATAGAAACGGATATTGTTAGAATTTTAGTTTGCGTAAAGGCTGTGTGAAGCTAAAGTGATAGCACGAAACCTCTAACAGGTCAGGTCTCTTAAGATCATAAAATATATAAAAGCACTGGCTATTTTATTTAATAAAGAGAATGAACGTCCTTCTTGATGGAGTAACATAAAACAATGATCTGCCTTTCCTTTATTCCCAACTAACATTAATGCTTGAATCCTACCTAGTTAAGTGAGATGCTATCGCGTCCAAACCATGTTAACTATTGGAGCTAAACTTTGCTACATTATTCGCTCTCCCAATCTACAATAGTAATATATGATGCCTAATGCCACTGGAGAATATGGCGAGTCTGTCACTTGACTATGCAAAACTTTGCGTAACCTACGAATGGCTTAGTCGAAAGAAGGTGTTTAGATTTGGTCAGTGGTTTAGGTTCGTAGGTGAGTATATCTATTATTTTCTTGGTGATTATGCCTAGAGGTAGTACCCGTATAAGAGTCACCCGGGTAACCCGTATAAGATCCGTTAACCGGGTCAACCTACTGCTACCCGGGTGACCCGGATTAATTAGTGAAAATAAAACATTCATCAGATTGGCTGGTTGATGAAGAAACGGTTAAACAATTTTAACAAACTCAGCTTCGAAAAACACTGTACAAATCAATTATTTTATAAATATAATAATCATTAGGTCGTTTCTCCTCTCTATGCATTGCTGAGCTAATTCAATATAGTATTCAGGAGTTCCGAAAGTAAATTCTGGCCGTAATCCACGATTAATCTCAATTGCAAGTTTGTTATTAAAATCACGTCCATCAAAGGCCCTTGGTTGACATCTCGGCTATCATAACACCAAAGCTATAAATATCAACTGTTTGTGTAAATTTATATAACTTCTGGAGAAACATAGGGCATGACACCGTAAATATCGCCTTCTGAAACACATTTTCAGTTTAGCCTTCCAAGTAAGTCTTTAAATTTTTCTTAAATATTTCTAAAGGCTTCCGTTAACAGCATACTGAAACTCCATCAATTATTCATTCGTTCTTGTGTCTTAAGTAATTCCATACATTGCGAGTTTGATATGCACGTCATGTGATTGAAAAATTCTTTCAAAAAATTAAGACTATTTCCCTTAGAACTGGTCAGGGTCTTGAGTGCAACAGTATTGATTTTTCACGCACTCTTGCATGTTATTTTTGCCATTATCAATTTTTCTCCACCTTTAAAATTTTGCAGATCCAGCCAATACAAAAATTGAGAATGCGAAAGATCTTTATTAGACAAAAAATGCATTTACCATTCGTGATCTTAGTAGTTGCTATCTATGAATAACCGGGTCAACTGGGTCAACCGGATCACCCGGGTTATTTGACGTGACCCGGTTTGTGACCCGGTAATGATATTTTAAATGGGTGAGTAACCCGGAGCTTAAATTTTGAACCAGGTACAATCTCTAATTATGCCTATAGAGATTATCTACTAACAATAATCTTAATCTTGGAATTTGGACGACTTGGATACAACTGTACGTTGTGTATCCTAGTTTGTAACCACAATTACCACAGTTCATCAGGCAATTGGACAGACAATACAACCACAACTAACCACAGTTCGTCGAGCTAGTTGGACAGAAAACCACAGTTGGTCTTGGTGCGTTAAGACTAAGTGGACAAGTTAGTGGGTAAGTATCATGTGAACAGGTTGACAAGGATCGTTGAAAAAATGTGGATTGGTTCTAGGTTAGAACTCGTCCGGAGGTTTGGTTACACAGAGGTTGGGTTGAACTAATCTATACAAATAAACGGAGATAATCCAAAAATCTAACTAAGAGGTAACCCTAGCTTGGATAAGGCTTGAAAAGAGGCGAGGATTAACTTGGTCCGAGTTTAGGATTACTTGGGTAAGTTATTCTTATTAGAGGAGTTGGGTCTATGGATTGCCTTGGTCACGTTTATCGGAAGTCACGATTTGATCACGATTTGGTCACGATGGGTGCATCCAGGGACACGGAAAATTATTGATCGATATGGTCAATTTATATCGATATGGCCAAATCGTCTAATCAGAATGCAGGATTTTGAGTAACGTGATCTGAACTCCAAAAATTTTTCCAATTTATCTTTAGAATAACTACAAAAAAAAAAAAAAAAAAAAAAAAAAAAAATTTTTTATAAAAAAAAAGGGTTCGCATAGCCTTCAAAGCGCAGATAGATCTGAATGCGCAACGCAGCACTTCTCAAGATAGTACTGATAAGATAATATAAAATTTTTATATGAAAATCTATTCCGTTTTAGTCAAAAAGGAAATGTGGCGGATCACGGGCAAAGACTAAGGCCAATACACATGAACAATTATACATATATATGGCAATGATCAGAGATATGCCGACAGAGAAGGGTGTCACGAACTGGGAGGGCTATCGATTATACAACGTCAATTTAACTCAGAGTCGTGAACATGAATTCAAGTTTAGGTAAGTTAAAGGAATGTAATATATTACGTTATTTATTATTAATAGGGGAACGGAAAGATGTTGTTTATCGTACGATACTAGGAGGGAAGTAATTATTTATTATACAGTAATCAAGGAGGGATGGAATATTATTATTTTATTTTTGAGCGATCAGATGTCAATTGGTTACAATCGTAATAGTTATTGTTATATTTATTATGATTTTATTAAGCGAGAGCAAAAGAAGGTTAAGTTTTTATTAACTTTAAGCATTGTATTTATACATTTTAATTCTTGCGGGTCTCGAGCCCTGCCTTCAGGGTTTCAGACCCTGTTCCGCGGGTCTTACACCCGGAAGACAAGGTCTCAAACCCTAGGCCTAGGGTCTCAAACCCGACACAGCCTACAACTCTAAACTAATAGAACAAATAGAAGTTTCTATTATATTCGGGAAAAATAAAAATTTTCGTAACAAGGGGTTAACGTTCGGGATTTGATGGTACATCTGGATTATAGTTTTTTTGGTAATAAAGGTTTACGCTTCTTATTCTTTTTAGGTATTGTCTTCGTTTATTTCTCACTAATTATTCAACTTTAATAAAATAAAATAAATAAAGTCAAAATAGAGTACCTTTTCAAATGATATAAAAATTCATTATATTACATTGCTTTAGCATCAGCTTTTTTGATGTAACTTTTTTTCACGCCAGGTACAAATTTTTCAAGAGATTCTACATCAATTTCCGCCTGTACACTAATCTCTGGTAAAGAACTTTCATATTTTTCAGCAAGATTAACATCATATTGAGAATATTATACTACAAGTCCAGTTAATGCTTGAATGTCCAATGAATCATCTTTTACAAATTGTTCATAATCCTGAGCTGCTTCGTGATATCTAGAGGTCTTGAGTTTAAATGCGGCTGTTTGTTTTAGAATTGATCTGCTTTCGTCAGACTATCATAATAATAATTAGTTAAGGAATACTCGAATATCTTTATGATTACTCATTAAATAAGATTTCTTACCACTTTTCCAAAATTTACCCGCTTGGTCTAAAGCTTGAACTGACTTTTCAGGTTTATTGAATTGTTCATAAAGCCATACTAATAATCCCACATATCCAGGCTTATATTTTTCATCATCATCTTTTATTAAAGATAAAAACTTTTCAAAAGTTTCTAAGGCACTTTTAGGATTGGATTATAAAAGTTGAAGTTGCATAATTGCAAAATTAATATATAAAGAATCCGGTTTTAATTTTAAAAATTCTTAGATAGCCTTTGTAATATTTTTTTGACGATAAGATATTGATGCTAAAATGAGATAAAGATCATCATTTTCAGGATAAGTTTGTAAAAGTCTATGAGTAACATCTTGGCATGCTTTATACTAAACGAATAAAAATTTGGATACAAAAAATTACGATTAATATAAAGCTAGTAATTAATATATTTAATTGATAATTAATAAACGAATAAATCGAAAATGGCAATTATATAAACAACCTTATGTATATACAATGATAATAATGCTTCATTCATCGCGATTATGCGACGCTGACTTCTAAACAATTTATAATCTAACGTATTTGTGCTTGCTACTTTCAATTTATGAGCAGAATCAAACAGTTCAGTATCCTTTTTAGCCGTGACAAAATTATTAGACGCAATAGCAGAAACTGTTATATCTGTTCCTCTAAAAAATTAATAAAGGAAATTCAACAAGCTATTATTTATTCTAGATATCCAATTGTAAACTTGACTTGCTTAAATTTGAGTATGCTTTGATAAAGGTCAATTACTTCAGTTATCCGGCCTTGAAGTTGATACAAATATGCTAATTGTGTATAAATTGTACCTAATTCTTTTTTAATTACTTCTTCACTATAATCATTATCAGTTAAAGGTTTCCGACATATATCTAGAAATTTTTATTCTAATATAATTATTAACCTAATATAAAATATGTGAATTTATCCTTGAGAAAAAGAAAAATTACTATACTTCTTGCGTTGATCAATAATTTTTCTACTTTTTTTAAAATCTTTTCTCCCGAGATATAAACAAGCATAATTATAAGCCAATTTATAAGTATTGACAGAATCAGCCATTGTATACTAAAAAAAAAAAATTTGATTTATTATAAAATATTTTAAATATTTCCTTTATAGTTACTAAATATTGTAATATAAATTACGCGTACCTTGTTATTTGGTTTATTTCCAGAAAACTGTAATGCAGCTTTAGCAACATTAATGTCATTGTACGTATCTTCTTTCTAAATAATTTTGAATTGAAATTTCTATATAAATAATTTTAAATAAGAAGGTCTATACATTGTATTTGAGAATAATTAAGATCGTGTACTGCATCTGTTTCCTGAAGAAGATTGTAATATATTTTTAGAGAAGCATTATAATCTTCAAGTTTGTATGCCTTCAAAATTTATAAAATTAAAACAGTAATTTTTTTTTTTAAAAAAAAAGAAAAAGTATAACAAACCACTTGTGCTTCCAAATGTCTCAATCCATTATCAGTTCGGTATTTATGAAGAAGTTCTGCTCCTTCAGAAAATTTGCTCAACTATAAAGACAGTAAGAGGGAATTGATTTTCGTAACAAAATCTAAAGCATTTTGATATTTCCAAAGTTTAATAAAGGTGATAACTTTGCATCAATGTCGTTTGGACTCAAATTTAGGACTATACAAAGGAAGCCATAGATTCAACTGTTAACAATTTAGAAATAAAATTTGAAAGACAGAAAAGAGCTTTGGCGTATTCGCCTTGATTTATTGTTCGTTCTTCATCGTTAAATAACTGTGTTAGAGTAGCTTCTTTGGACAAATTGTCTTGTGCTGACATGTTAAATCTCGATTAACCCTTTCATAGCGAGCAGCGTTCAGGAAAAACAGTTCCTGGTTATACAAGATCACGTTTTTTTAAGCCAATTAAAAACTATTACCCCAAGAGCGATAATTAATTTTTAGCTCTAGAGATTATCAAAATCGTTTTCGACCTTCAAATAGCAAAAAATTTATCCTGAAAAAAATTTTTTATAACAAAGAAAATAATAATGAATTTGTTTAATAAAAAAAAAATACTAAAACTAATACGCTAATACGCATTAACTATTACATGAATACTATTTTATTTAACTATTTTGAAAAATAAAGAATTAGTCAATTTCAAATCATTATAAAAATATAGCGATAATATGTTTACTATGGTCTCTAAGTGCACTCAGGGACGGTGATTTTTTGTGGTGACAAATTCAAAATTTGGTGCCAAAATTTAAATTCTGCGATATTATTTAACAACGTGAATAAACGTGACATGATTCATCATATAAAATGTGCCATATGTACAGCACTATTACGTTCCATTCCATATATCTCACGACACCCCAACTAGTGCCGCCACTTTTTTCATAGGGTTACGGTATGATTTCCTGAAAGTTACTTCCTTTTCATGAATTCAGTGTAAAGGAATTTCAAATAATATTGATGATATCAATTAAGATGACGATTTTGTCATAATTTGTTAATACAAAATAAATTTTCGACTTTATTATAGAAATCATCAAAATTTTTTAGGTGCTGAAACTTTCTAAGGTCGTTTTCAAACAGGTGTGAACAGTGTATACAGGAAATTCACATAATTTCCTAAATTTCCACCGTTTTTTAAACCTTAGCTTACCAATTTCCTGGTAGCTACAGTTTCTGTAACCTATTTAGAAGCACTAATTCAAGTTAAAGGTAAACTTATAACCGAATTGTGAAATTTTCTAAAAAAATTTCTAAAAATAAAACATTTTAGAATACTTCCGCGTATAGTGAAGATGCATATTTAACTGCCTCAGTTCGGATGACGTGATTTTGTTATATCACATTAAATATAATAAATTATATTGATAAACAAAAAGCTTATTATACGTCATTATATTTTTATCCATAAGTTATATTCATAAAAAAAATTTTTAATACAGTATTAAACTTCCGATTACCCGATTCCTTTTTGAAAACAGCTGTAAAATATGATAATGTTTTATTTATAATGAGTTGAATCTCACAATTTCCAAAGCCATTTAATCTTAACATAATGGCCTGAATATTATTTATTTATTTAAAATTTGTATAAATTTAAAACAAAGTTCTTTAAAATTTTGATTTAACTCTTAACAAACAACTCTGAAAAATATTAATTAGATTTTCCATGTTATGTCATAGGATCAAACTTTTCAGAAATTGGGAGATCACTTTAAAATATTTTTTAAATATAACTCAATACAATAAACAAAAGAGGAAAAACAACAATTTTATCTAATTAGCAACTTTTAAAAATATGTACAGTACAATAGACATACGATATGAAAGTAGAAAATAATGCATAAACGGATCCAACAATCAAGCACTCAAACTATTCATTAAAACTATTCATTAAAACTGAATAATTATTTTCTACAACTTTATTTAGAACCCAAAGAAGATTTCCATAGCTTTATTTAAAAATTCAATTTAGTTAGAAATAAATTTATTTGAAGTCATTTTGGCTTATAGTAAATTTTATAATGACAGCTATAATAAATACTATGGTAGTTACCAATTGAAGTTCTCTTTGTTAGCATAAAAACTATGTTAAGGTCAGATATATTAGTTAAAACATATTTAGATTGAAAGTGAAATAAATAGCATAAAAGGTATTTATTTGAAATCTATTACTCTATGCGAAAAAGTACTTGCCCGTTATAAAATGTTACATTTTGAATGTCGAAATAAATCCAACTATCTTTCTAAAGTTTGCCGCAAAAGTTTATTTTGTAGTCTGTTCCTTTAAATTTCGATTACATTAAATAATTAAATATTTCCGTGCTTCTTGCAATTGGTCAAAACAAATTCCAAAAGTCCATTTTTGATCAATTTGTGTAATTTATGAAAATCATAAAAAGTTACTGTATATGCTATGAAAGGTCGCACCATGTACGTACGAATGCCGACATAACTTAATAAATTTCAAAGATATCAAAAATAAACGGATGCTATCCCTCATTTAAAAATGAATGCAAACGAGTTATACAAGCTAGGAGAAAAATATTATTACGGAACTGGTGTCGAAAAAAATGAACGTGAAGCATTCGTCTATTATCAAAAAGCCGCCAATATGGGTCATGTTGACGGTACATTTGATGTTGGTTATTGTTATGAATATGGAATTGGAGTTGAAAAGGATGAACATAAGGCATTTATTTATTATCAAAAATCTGCTGATATGGGTCATACCAAAGGAACATTTGCATTAGGTAACTGTTATATAGATGGAATTGGAGTTGAAAAGGATGAACATAAGGCATTCATTTATTATCAAAAATCTGCTGAAATGGGTGATTCTCTTGGAACAAATAATGTTGGTTATTGTTATCGAAATGAAATTGGAGTTGAAAAGGATGGACATAAGGCATTCATTTATTATCAAAAATCTGCTGATATGGGTAATGCTCTTGGAGCATATAATGTTGGTGAATATTATCTAAACGGAGTTGGAGTTGAAAAGGATATACATAAGGCATTTACTTATTATCAAAAATCAGCAGATATGGGTGATATTGATGGAATGTCACAAGTTGGTTATTGTTATCGAAATGGAATTGGCGTAATAAGAGATTTACAAAAAGCCAACTATTGGTATGAAAGGTAAATAAATGTTTTTTTTTAATTATTATTATTTTTTTTATTGTGCATTCATTTAATAAATTCATGTATTAAATAATCAATTAGAGAGAAAAATTTAGTATCAGGTAAATTCCATTACTAATTCAATTTAAAAGTTACAAGCCATCTGAAATTATAGTGTAATGTGGCGCGCTTATTTTTTTCTTGTTTAGTAAATCCTTCATTGATTCTATTCTTTACTGTAGAATAAGTAGGTTTTTTGGTTCTAATAGTGATAAAATTGCTCAACTCGGTCAAATAAATCTAAAAAGATTATATAATGCTTATATATCACGAATTAGAACTAAAAACTGATTTTAATTAATCTACTGTATGATTATTTAGAAATTAAATTGAAGAAACGCTATATTTAGTCTCACAATCAATAATTAAAATGCGCTACGTTTTACTATAGGAGTTGTTCAGACAGCTTAATTATGATACGTATGATATTAACAACAATTTCATTTATCTATCAGTTACAGAAGAATGGATGCTTAAAAATTCAGATATTGATGATAATTTGAAAAAACTATTGATTGAAAATAAATATTCATTGACATGGATTCCTTATAACGAATTTAAAGATATTGAAGAGATTGGAGAAGGTGGATTTGCAACTGTATCTTATGCAAGGTGGTATGATAAAAGTCTAACAAACAGGCCTGTTGCACTTAAATTACTTCACGAATCAAATAGCTGTAATGAAGAATTCATAAAAGAGGTGATTTTTTTATTATTAAAGCATTTATGTTATTAATATTATTTTTAATTTAACAAATTTTTCTTTAATAATAAGTTAAGGGCATACTGCGATATTGGTCTTAAAAATCCAAGTTTTTTAAAATGTTTTGGACTATCAAGACACGACATTTCTAAAGATTATATAATTGTTATGGAATATGCTAAGATGGGATCTTTACGTAAAAATCTTCACAAAATAGCACAAATGGAATGGCAAAGAAAATTAAATCTTTTAGTTTGTATTGCATCAGACCTTAAAATAATTCATTCTCAAGACCTTATTCACCGAGATTTGCATAGTGGAAATATACTACAAAATGAATTGAAATGTGCGTATATTGCAGATTTAGGACTTTCAATATCAGCTAATATAAAATTAAAATCCGAATATGATGGAATTTATGGAGTTTTACCATATATTGCACCTGAAATTTTAAATCGACAACCATATACTAAAGCATCAGATATTTACTCTTTTGGAATAATTATGTGGGAAATTTTACATGGAAGACCTGTTATATTTGAGCAAAAATCTAAATTACAATCAAATTTACAATTTCAATTACAAGTATGTGATGGTTTGCGACCATATATCTTTAAAGGCACAGATTTATGCTATGTAAATCTTATGAAAAGATGTTGGGATAAATTACCAGAAAATCGACCTTCATCTGCTGACATATATGATATTTTTCTTGAATGGCAAACTAATAAAGATATTTTATTAGAATTATCCGAGTATGATAAGAAAATACAAAGTATTACAAATGAACATATGCAAACATATAAAATAAGTTATAAAAGCAAACTTGTTTCATATAATGGTAAATATATATCTTATTAATAAATTTATTAATTATCTGCTTATCGTTATATTATTTTAACATTCATTTTTTTTCATTTTTTTTATAGATAGTAAACTACTTGAGTTGAACATAAATGATTTAGAATTAGAAATAAATCAAATTGAAATTAATGAATAGAAATTAATTTAAAAATTAAATGTTTTTAGTTTCTTCGAATTTAAAATTTATTAATAGAAATTTCTATTTTATATTTAAGTGTAAGTTTATTATTTTAATGACGCTTTTATAATTGTTATTTTTTTTATAATTACATCATCATATTTCATAATTTAAACACTGCTATATCGATATTTTTCAAAAAAATATTTTATGTGCGAAAGCGCATATGCACACATTGAATCTTTTTTTTTTACTGAAAATGTCATATCGATATAGTAAATGGTGTGCCACTGCCAATTGTTTATTAATTAACACCAAATACTACTTGTTTTAATAAAGCGTAGTGTTACATAATAGTTGAATTATCCTGTAATGTGGTGTTTAAAGAGACTGTTAAGAGTGTCTAATATAATTAAAGTAGGATTGGAACCGTTTAACCGCATAAAAATTGTTCCATAATTTCGGGCCGAATTATGTTGATCATGGGCCAAGGTTATCTTATTGCCGGCGATTGTTAATACGATTAAACCAATCCCTAAATTAAAGTTCATATGTATTGTATTGTAACACGGTTAATTTAGCGAAATAAATATTTTATAAACATTCCTAATTCAGTACAAGCGAAATACATAGTACACGTATGAATTTAAAATGTTAAATAAATGAACTACATACAGTATTATACGAATTTTAAATATATAATAAATTAATTATTAAAATTAATAGTAATGTTTTTACACTTAATAAATTACATCGATAGTAGAATCTTGTAATTGTGGGTTAGATTCGTCAAAGCTTTATTATTTTGTTCATTTACTGGTATATATCATTTAATAACTTAATCTATCATTCGATAATATCATTAAATTATATCGATATATAATTATTATAAATTAAACTAGTACTAATAATGACAATAAAAAAAGTAGCATCACAAACAACTGGAAAAAAAATTTTGAATATATTTTTTCAAGAGTTTTTTTTTCTTTCTAAACTTTAAGTAGTATTTTATTTATTGGTATTACAAAGCATGAAATACAATTATTTGTCAAAAATTATCACATGGCTCGATAAACTGAACCCGTCAGAAATGGCAAGTCAATTTTACATGTAAAATAAAGGGTCATTAAAAAATGAATTATAACAGTAACTATTCTTTTTAAATTTTATTTTTAACCAACCATCTAAATTTTGCATAATAGAATATATAAAAAATTAAATGAATTTTTTTCGTTTGATTTATTGTAACCCGTTAGAGAACTAATGAAATCTGCGAAAGTCGATACATTATATAATGCAATAATAGATAATATGATTGATAGATAACAGATAATAGTAAATTAAGCTACGTGTAAAATATATGATCATCATGAATACTCTATTTGTAGATAAGATTTATTATTTGGGGCGAATACAATGCTTAATATAAAGTATCGATCTTGATTGATATACAATATTTACCTTAATTTTATATTATAAATAATTTGAAATGATCAAGATTGATACTTTGACATAATTGAAAAATAATTTTTTTTGGGGGAGTTTGTTTAGAATACATAACTATTTTTGGTGATTACTGGTTTTTGTTTGGCATGTGTATCATGTGTATATAGCGTGGATAAGGTTAAAAAAAATCGATCAGATAGTTCGAGTGCTACTAATTCAAGATAATACAATCGAAATAAAAATTGATTTCCTTATCAAAAATGACTATTGTTTTTTTTTTTTTTTTTTACTTTACCCCATTCTTTTTTCTTATTGCCGGTTTTTTATTAAATCTATAAAAATATCAAAAAAGAAAAAATGCTGTTTTATGCGCATATAAAATTTTTTTCACATTGATTTTATTTTTTTATTATATAAAAGTTTGTTCATAATGTCTCCTCGAACAAGCCCCAACCAAGATTTTGAAGGTTATTTTTTTTTTAGCCATGATCTTTATTAAGTGAAACCTTCTTCTTAACTAATAATCTTAAAAAACTTTCTCAAAATTTATCGAAAATTTTTAATTTTCAGGAATTAAAACATTTCGCAGGGCTGAGGTATCAAAAACCAGACAAATTATTCAAAGAAGTATCAACGGTACAAAATATACAAAAGACCAACCATGGTATATGATTATTGATAATAAAGTTTATGATATCAAAGAGTTCGTGCCTGATCATCCAGGTGGTGCTCCGATTTTGACACATATTGGAAAGGACGCAACAGGTGATCACGTGATATTTAGTATATGGGACTTTGAATTGACCTTATAAAACATAGATTACTATGTTCCATAAGTTATTTTCAAGATTGACTCCTATATTACATAAAATACAATAATTAATGTTTATAATAACTCCATGTAGATGCATTTTATTCTTTCCATCCGGAAAGTGTACATGATTTATTGGCAAATTATTATGTTGGTGATATAGCCTATGAAGATATTATTCCGTCAAAAGGTACGTCACTCACGTTAAACTATATATATATATTTTTTTTATTAACATTCAATTTTATTATTACAGGATTTACAAAAAAGGTTCGAGAACTTAAAGAACAATTTACAAAGCTCGGATATTTTAAATCATCCAAAGTTTATTATCTATATAAAAGTCTTTACAACATAATTCTTTGGTCTATATCGGTCATAATCTTGAATACATTTGGAAATACATTACCTGGAGTTCTAACTGCCGCATTTGTAATGGCCTTATTTTGGCAGCAATGTGGTTGGTTATCACATGACTTTTTACATCATCAAGTATTTGAAAATAGATATTATAATGATTTGGTTGGATGTTTCTTTGGAGCTGTTTGTCAAGGTTTTGATCCTTGCTGGTATGACCCTATTTAAAATATTTAATAATCTATTTAATTAAGATTTACTTTTTATCACTTACATTTGCTTTATAGGTGGAAAAATAAACATAACACTCATCATGCTGCTCCAAATGTTCATGGTCAAGATCCTGATATTGATACACATCCATTTTTAAGTTGGTCAGAAAATGCATTAACAGATTTATTTGATCCAGAGTTAGCTAGAGAACATGCAAAAGCTTTTCCTCCATGGTTAGCTCGTATAATGGTTAATAATCAAACTATAAATTATTTTCCACTTCTTGCATTTGCTAGATTATCTTGGTGTGTTCAAAGCATATTATATGTTCTTCCTAATGGTCAAACTGGAAGTATTGGTAATGCTCGTATGCCAGTTACATTAATTGAACAAATATGTTTAGTTATACATTATATTTGGCTTTTTTCTATTTTTAAATTTATTGGAAGTTGGATTTTAGTTTTTGTATTTGTAATTTCAGCACAAGCTATGTGTGGATTATTATTGGCATTATGTTTTTCATTAAACCATAATGGAATGAAAGTATTAACAGAAGAAGAAACGATGAATACTGAATTCTTTGTTGAACAAGTTATTACTGGAAGAGATGTTACTGCAAATAGTTTAATGGGTCGTTGGTTTGTAGAATGGTTTACTGGTGGATTAAATTATCAAATTGAACATCATGTAAGTATAATATATATATTTATTTGTTTTTTTTTGGATTGTTTTTAACATTTCAAAATTTTTTTTTTTTTTTTTTTTTTGAACGATTTAGATATTCCCAAGTATGCCACGTCACTATTTCCATAAAGTTTCACCAATTATTCAATCTTTATGTGCAGAATACAATATACGTTATCATAAAACTACCTTCATTGAAGGTACAATGGAAGTTTTTAAGAGATTAGGTCAAGTTTCATATGCAAATAAAAAAGTGAATTAAAAAAAAAATTCCAAACCCAAAATTTAGTAACTATAATTTATTGAAATAAATATCATTGAGTCTTTAATTTATATTCAAAAAAAAATAAAAGTTACTACGTTACATGATGATAAATTACGTGATATTTTTTCTTCGGGAGCACATGTGAATATACCGTATTTACACAAAATAACGCCCGGAGCATCATTTAGTGACACACATTTTAAATTAGAGTTAATTTTTTAGTTATTATCATTATATTAAAAATAACTACTAATAACGACAATAGCGAAAGTAAATTACCGTTTCTTCGAATGTGAAGTTTTTATACAATAATTTTAATGATTCAGATAAGAATTAGAAAAATTATACAGTAAAAGTTGAGAAAACAGGCATTATCTTGTCAAATTTTAAAGCTATCTTGATGATTTAAAATTTGAGAAGAAACTTTTAAGATTTAAATTTCTTTTCAAATATCAAGATTAATTTATTAGTTAATTATTTAACAATAACAAAACTTACGAGTCTATGATATTGTCATAATAAAATTGCTTCGATTTAATCCAATTAATAAACAGGTTAAAAATTTCACGATAACGATAATCTACAAATTATAATTATCACAAATAATATAGAGATTGTGATATTTCGGTATAATAAAGATTTCAGCATTAATCCGAGACATTTTACACAATGCCTAAAGAAAAAAAAGAAACAAAGGTAAAGAAAGAAAAGAAAGAAAAAAAAGAGAAAAAACCACATAAAGAGAAACGTGAAAAAGAACGTTCTAAACATAAAGAAATAGTTCAAGATATTGGAACTATAATTGCAGAAACAGCTGAAACGACTGTAAAAACTGAAAAAGTTCCAAAAAAAGTTAAAACTTCAAAGACAACAGAAAAAGTTTCAAAAAAATCAGAGAAAGTTTTAAAGACAGAAGAAGAGAAAGCTTTAAATACAGAAGAGAAAGAAACAGATACGACACAGAAAGATGTTTCTATGGTAGTACACTATGATTTGAGCGCTTTAATACCGTTTGCTTCACCTTTGGCCACTGAAGAATTTACTCTAGAATTGATGCAAATTGTGAGAAAAGGTATTCAAAAAAAAAAACTCATGAAATATTAATTCAATTTTTCCAAAGAGATTCAATTAAATATAATATTTAATATATCATTATACTAAGCTTCAAGAAGAAGGCATTGTAGACGTGGTGTCAAGGAAGTTGTCAAAGCTCTGCAAAAAGGACATGAAGGGTAAATAATAATTTATTGTAAATCTGAACAAAGGCTTCGCCCTAATAATATGTTTATTTTCATAACAATTAAATATATTGATAATTCGTATACTTTTTTTTTGGAACATTATAGTCTTGTTGTGATGGCTGGAGATATTTCACCTATAGATATAATTACTCACATTCCAATATTATGTGAAGACTTTAGTGTGCCTTACGTTTACATTCCATCGAGAGCAGATCTCGGATTTGCCTGCGCTACAAAGCGTCCTACTAGTGTAGTGATGATTGTTCCTGATCTTAAGAAGGAAGAAACTTTCGATTATAAGGAGCATTATACGGCTTGTTATAATAAAGTGAAAGAATTGGTAAGTTTGTTCCTTTTATTATATAATGCAATTATTATCTTTATTGATCAGTTTGTATATTGATTTTGATTTAGGAACAAAATGAGATATAGAATTTTTAAATTTTGATTCTTATTGTTCATGAATAAAAATTTATAGTACACGAACGATGTTACGTTTGAGTTTTAATTTTGTTGTATATAAAATGGTTATTTTATGAATAGTCTTATTTATGAGGTTATAAATACAAATAAATCATGATAATTTATATAACATAAACTATATAACCAAATTAATTTCTCGTTATAAATGATAATTTTTTTTAATTCGCTACGGATATATTCAATAGAGTTTTTATTATAACTTGCTTCGCTTAAGAGCAAGCCTATTATACACACTTGAATTTAAATAATCTTTTGGTGTATATATATGAGTTGTTAAATCTTTAATATCAACCATTTCAGGTTTAATATCAGCGAGTGTATTGGCACCTAATAGACGCATACCAATTGCCACTTCATCTTTTAATAATTGTAAAGCACGTTCAACACCAGCTTGCCCATAAGAAGACATAGCATAAAGTAATGGTCTCCCAATTCCAACAGCTTTTGCGCCCAAAGCAATTGCTTTAAGAATGTCAGTTCCACGACGGATTCCTCCATCTACGTATATTTCAACTTTATTTAATAAACCTCGTTTCTTTAAACCTTCAACAACTTCAGGAAGTATTTCTATGCCGGAACGAGACAAATCAAGTTGACGACCTCCGTGATTTGATAGTACTATGCCATCGCATCCATACTCTACTGCAAGTATAGCATCTTCGAGAGTTTGAATTCCTTTGAGAACAATAGGCATAGATGTAATAGATCTAAACCATTTTAAATCATTCCAATTTAAACTTGTATCAATAAAAGAAGAAATGGCTCGTGCAGCACCTTGATCACGATTTAAATCTTTTTCATCCTGAACTTCTGGTGGTGCATTAACGAATTTCATACGCATATCTTTTTCACGACGACCCAATTGTGGTGCATCAACAGTAATAAAAAGTGCTTTACAACCTTTAGCTTCAGCAGATTGAACAACATTTTTTGTTATATCTTTATTCCTATTTACATATAATTGAAAAAATAAAATTTGTCCTTTTCCACGAGAATTTGATATATCATCCATTGAACATGATGAAAGTGTAGGTACCATTTGAATAATTTCATGTGAATATGCAGCTCGAGTTAAAACTACTTCACCTTCAGGATGACCAAGTTTTCCTAATGCTGTAGCTGTTATATATAATGGAAAAGAAGAATTATAACCTAAAATTTTTGTACTCATATTAATATGAGTTACATCTATCATTACTCTAGGTCTAAACCAAATACGTTGAAAAGCATTATGATTTTCTCGAAGAGTAATTTCATCATCTGCACCAGAACTATAATATGCCCATGCTTCAGGAGTTAAAACTTGAGAAGCTACAGCTTCAAAATCATATAAATTTAACATTTCACTTAAAGCTGGTTTATTTTTAATAAGTTGTTGACGTCGTTTTTCCTCTTCTGTTTCCTTTTTAGTATGTTTAACAATAGTAGCAGGGTCAATCTCACCGAGGAAAGCCTCAGGAGGCAAGTACATTTTAATTATGTCTTGTGGATGGATTGGATCGAAAGCAGCTGTTGCATCTTTACCAGCTTGATCAAGGATCACTTTTACCCCACCAGGATGTTCCGGAAGAAACTTGGTCACATCATATACTTTTCCATGTATAATAACCCAACAATCCTGGCGCGTATTATGTTTAGCAACTTCCTTGGCCGATATGAGAGTCATATTATTACTCAGCGACCGTTGTCATGAGCGAAATGAAAATTTATACATTATACGTACTGTACGTATAAGGTGATAAATTACATGATTTTAACTTAACATGAAATTTGTTACACGAACTGGCTAAAAATCTTATATATTACAAAATCAAACTTTTAAATGATGTAAGAGGAAGAGGAATTACATAAAAGATTTGCAGAAGACATTAATTTAAGTCTTTTGGCGGGATCATTTTTATATATAGAATAATCTTGTCTAAAATTTTGCAATTTTTTAATACTTATTTCAATCAAAAAAAAACCCGAATTTTTAATTAGTAAACTTAAAAATATAATAAATCTAAATTGTTTTTTAACTGGTTAATCTAATGTTTAGTTATTAAATATTGTATATTTATTTTATTACTGTTACGAGTTAAAATATACTTTACTAATATTAAAATTTTAATGTATCAGTATTGTATATCACCTTTAATAAGATAACCAATACCTATAATTAGAAAAAAAAAGAGTTCTTACATAAAGAATTAACATAGATTGTTTAAACTACCAGTCGATGTTACTTATTTATGATGTGTTCCCAGGTTACCACCACCAGTGTTGAAAATCTAATGTTCTCAATTTTCTCAAAAATATTAAATATTTTTGAGAATATATAAGATTTAAAATTCTATTTCTTTTTTGAGAATATAATTTATTATAGTTACAATGTTTTTAATAACATTAAATTTTTTAAAAATTTTATGTTCTCAAAAAACAAATATATATATATTTTTTTTTTCAGATTTCTTTCACTGATTACCACTTGTGTGCCCTTGAGCATTATTCCATGAAAGATAAGTGTGATCACCGAGTTTTCTGTTTAAAATAATGATAAATAAATATAAGTTTATAGGGAATGTCCTAATTTTTTTTTTTTTAACATAAAAATTTATAACATACCTTGGTTTATATAAATGCCTAGCAGTGAAAATTGTACCTAAAATAACACACGCAATTCCAACAGCTATATAAGCTAATCCCAAGAAAGAATTTTTTCCTCCAAGAAACGAAACGGTAGATAAAACGAATGACTTAGTACCACCATATCGAGTTACGGGATATCCTTGAAACCCATAACCAAATCATATTAGAAAAGTGTAATCTAAAAAATATATATTTTACAGTTTTTTTTTTTTTTTTATTACTCACTATAATCAGCCCACACCTCATATAACCCAGCTTGTAATACATTGGTATCATTTCTTGAATATAATTTCCTGAAATCTGGAAGTCCTGCCGTACGCATCCAAACTTGAAAGTGTTCATCAGTAGATAAATCTGGTGGAGGAGTATCAGCGGTATAAGTACCATTGGGATATGCACTAGCCCAATCTGGTGGTGGGATAATTTGATTTAATTGATAGTTGGTTTTGCCATACTTTTGTTTATCTGATGGCCATGCAATTCCTTTACTGACAAGAATATAAGTTTCATTATTTGCACTAAATCCATTAACGTCTGATATACGTGTAAGGTTAGAAATTGTATCTACAAAAAAAAAAAAAAAAAAAAAAAAAAATTGGAAAACATTAATTATGATAATTTGTTCATTTTGAAATAAAAAATAAAATATGACAAAATTGTCATTAACATATGGGAACTTTGCCTTAAAGATGACCTTATTGACATAGTAAATAATATTATCAATTTTTAATTTTTCAAGGCAAAGAATCCATATATGTTTCTTTTGGTTCACAAAAGAAAACAAATGAAGAATATAAGTTTTCAACTTGTTAATTACCGTTAAATATAGAATTTGCAATTAAGCCACAAGGGTAAATGGCAGTATTATTTGCGGAAGCCATTGGGCTACAAGCACTTTGGAGAGCACTTATAGGAACAGCATCGCCTTTAAGTTGATTAGCATCAAAACTTTTGACATAACTTCGGTGATTTTGGTAAAAATTTGTTAAACGATAGTATATAAATAGTGGAGGTTTCAAATCTAAAGGTAAATAAAATCGAAGATGACAGCGCCAGATGTTCGTTCCAGTATAATTCACTTCAGGTGGAATTACCACCTCGCGACTCCACTGAATCTGTGATATACTTTGTTGATATTGAGATGATGATGCTTGAGGTAACGATACTGATACAACATATTGTGAAGGCACCGAAGTGAAGCTAGGATAGTCACTTGCTATTTTATTTTTAGGTAAAATAAAACTGATGTGAAAAATTTTTCATAGTAAATGATAATAACTTGTTATTCATTTTATTATAAAAATACCTTTAGAATCACAATATGTATAATCAATGACTAGTTCTGTTACCTATAAAATAACATAAAATGTTTTGTGATTAATTTGAGTATTAAATTTAGCAATTACGACCAATTACTTACACTATTACTGGCCCATAAAAGTAGACCACCAAGCGGTGCAAAGAGGATCCCCACGATAAAAAACGTTGGAAGAACAGTTTTGGGTGTTAAAATTGGCTGCCATGCCTTTAAGCGTTGTTGCTTGAAGGCGGTGTCTATTTTATAAAGGTAAATAAAAAAGGTAAGAAAGGTAATAATGCAATTTATACTTTAAGATGCTGTGTATCGTTTTTACCATTTTCTTTTTACTTACTTGCAGGCTTACGGCTCTTTGTTTCGGGAGCCATTTATATTTTTGAAATAAAGGCAGCTCTTATTTCCGTGCCAAACGTTAATATATAAAAAGAGCCTTCGAATCAACTAAGTTGAAATTTTATATTTAAGAAATAACGATAATACAGGATGTATATAATTTATTTGCTAAAAGATTTCCCGACTTTCCAGAAAGTGTAGTTTAATGCACATCAAAATGTGTACGAGGTTTAAGCCACAACTTGTACCGATCGTGTCGATCGAAATATCAAGATAAATTAAAGAATAGAGTGTACTACAATCTATGACTGGTCATAACCGTAACCTATACTGGTTGGTTAGAGACTCTCGTAAATTAATTCTAAAAATTCGTAGAATTAAAACGTCTATTAAAATAGATGCGCGAAACCATCACCTAATAAAATTCTTTTTATTTTAATTCTATTATCTCTATTGAATTTGATCAAATGGTTATTGAAATATTTTCACATAAAGCGACTTGAAATTAAATATTAATTTCAATATCATATGATCCAAAATTAGGTTCAAAACCGGTCTAAAGCTTCAAATTTCGTTTAATTTGAGAGGAGCTTAATATATATTTTTTTTGGGGGGGAGACTCGCAAGTGGAAGGGGGGGATGACGTTAAACGAAGTTTTAATTTCAAGTCGCCTAACAGATAATTTTTTTTTTCAAAAATTGAACGATAAAGGGAGTCACAAATATTACGTAATATCCTGAGAGTCAGACATCCTATATTTTTACTACTCGGGGAGAGGGGGTCAGCTACTATTAAAGAATTATTAAAATGAAAATGATTACGTAATATGTGACTCCCCTAACCACTTGGTCAACTTCAATGAAATTTTTTTATTTCAATTTTAAGACGTGAGTTTTTTCAAAACTTTAAACAAAAATATCTAGATAACCATCTAACAGAATTTTTCTTATTTTAATTCTACGAATTTTTGGAATTAAAATAAAAAAAATTTCATTGAATTTGATTACGTGATTTGTCGAGATATCTTCGTTTATGATCAACAAAACCTGTAGCAGAATTTTTTCAATTCTTCCTTTATTACAGACAAAATGTTAAATACAACAGATAACACCAAATATATATTTAATATGAAACGTAAAATAATGATGTGACTAAAATAGTTTGCTAAATATTATTATTATACAGCAAGAAAAACCAAATTTATAAATTATTATAGTATAACTATTTACTTTGAGCAAACAAAACTTTTTCAACGTTATCATGCCTTTTTACAAATTTAACATGAAACGTCTCGGGCCAAATAGTCATACCAAAACGTACCTTTTCCGTATCAATTGGCATTGGTTTTCCATCTTGGTCTAATGGTGATGCATTTTCTATACGGAAGCACCAGAAAAGACGTGAAACACCTAATAGAAGTGTTAAGAATTTGCAGGAATATGATATCCATTATATTCATCTTCTTCTTCAATATAATGAGGTATGCCTAAATAAATTGGTCCACAATATCTTTGACTTTCTTTAACAATTGCGCGTATATAAGGGATGTTTTGTTCATCAGATATGTTTAGTAGACAGAATTGACCAATTATTTGATCAAGTTCTTAATGAGCTTTGAATTGGACTTGAGGATTGTTGGCTAAAGCAGCAGTAATCCATGTCAAACTCGCTGAAATCGTATCCTGCAAATTTTAAGTTTTTATTAAAATGAAATTTGCTTATAAAAAAAAATAATAATAATAATAATTTATAAAATTTACAGTTCCAGCAGAAAATATATTGCTAATAATATGAACAATATCTAGTTCATCTAATACACCATCGTCTACTTTATAAAGTAAGTCTCTAATAATACAAGATTTTCTCTCTTTATCATCCTTAACTTCTTTTATTAATTTACCATATAAAGTTTCTGATCTTATCCTATCTTCAATTACCCTTTTATGTAATTTATTATGGTTTGTAAACCATCTCAAAAATGGAAAAAAATCACCTAATCTATTTGTTATTCTAATAAGTTGTAAATGATTCTTTATATAAATTTCGAAATTTTTATAAAATATATCATTAATACTTTTTGTCCGTTTTCCTGAACACAAAAGAGTAATTATATTTAAACTTGTAAGTTGAAAATGACATTTTGGATATAAACCATTTACTGTGTTCGTTGAGGTTTTATAAAGGTTTTGCATAAGTAATCGAAATTCAATGTCGAACAAATCAGATTTTCCTTTTATATTTCGTTGATCCAAAATCCCATGTACTGGATTTTTTTTTTAAAAAAATATTTTTAGATTATAATGTAAAAGTATGTCTAACATCGATTAATACAGTATACTAACTAATAGGAGTAAGCATTCTATATCGTTCATTATACCGAGAGCCGATGAAACCTTTATTTCTTTCCAATATTTGATAAAAGTAATATGTTGGCCAACGTGACGAATACTTCTTACCTCCTATCGAAGAAAAAAATCATCGAGAAACAAGTATTGTTTAAAAAATTAGGATCAACTTACGTTTTTGCAAAAGTTCACCAACAACTTTATCACTAGTTAATATAATCCAATTTTGTTGACCCATTTGTACGCTATAAATATCTCCTAAACTTTTTGCCCATTCTTCAAACCTAATTAGATCATATACTTTGTTATATGACCATTCATTTATTATACCGTAATAATTGATTGATTTTTAGTTATCATACTTCTTGTACGGTTTTGATCCGATTTGCCAATAATGTCCTAAAAGCAATTCATGATTAAAATAATTTATCAGCAAAATTTCTACAACAAATATAAAAATGAATATAATAATAACGATGGTTGTTGACCTAATCGACTCGATAATTAAAATCAACTTGGGGCACCTTCTTCAATAGACCCAGCAAAGAATCTGATTGGTCTGTTCTGTCCGATCAAATTGGCCAATCAGATTCTTTACCAAACAAATTCATTGATAGGTGTTTGAGAACACGTTTAGCCGATTTATGTGTCAACAAATTATAAATCTATCGCTAATCTCTATCGCTATTACTAACTATGTAATTATCGAACACAGAACAACTATCAAAACCAGTCCAAAATTAAAGATTTTGATATCAATTTTTTAGAGACGCGGTGAGGAATCTATATACTGATATACGTACTGTACGTACGTATTTTAAATTATTTTTATACCAACCAATATAAAATATTCGACCTGGTGGTGAAGAGAGTTCTTTGAGTCCACGCGAAATAACATGTCTTTTAAAGAAATAATAATAAACGAGACACGTCAATAATAATAAATAAATAAAAATCATTTTTCAATATAAATTACGTCCAGTCAACATTTTCAATTCTTTTTTCGTGAAATAAATTTATTTATAAGTCTTTAAACTTTATAAATAAATTTAGACTTTTTAGAATTTAAATTTGATTACCACTGAATCACAATGTACAAGTACTGTATAACGGTAACATATCGATGATTTACCAGATTTCATGAGTCCTTTAAAGTCGGAATTAATTTGTGTCTCTAAGAAAATTAATCTGCACATTGTAGCATATTTATTATATGGTACAAGAGTAATTAGGACACCATTAGTATCTCTGAGAAAATTGTCATACTACACGTATAACTATAACTACTGACACAGGTGAAAATGACTAGTCTTCAAAAATATTAATCTACCGGATGACCTACGGGCGGCTTAGTCGTTAGAGGCGTGTTAGATTTGGCGAGTGGGAGTTGTGCTCGTAGGTAAGTATTCTCCTTTATTAGTCTCTTATTACTTATACTGGTTCCTTTACTAACTCTAACCACAATTACTACAGTACTTTGGGTAATTGGACAACAACAACCACAATTGTCACAGTACGTCGGACAATTGGACAAACAGAATCACAACTAACCACAGTCCTTCGGGTTAGTTGGACATGAATAACCACGGCTGATCCAGGTACTTTAGGATACATTTTCAATCGTTAAATGAATAGGTTTACTGATGTTTAATGTTCTTTTTATAACTTATAGAGAAAAGAAAGTACCCGTCGGTTATTTCACTCTGGGGATTTTTGTTTTCGTAGTTATTGGTTTAGCTATCTTCGAAATGTTAAAATTTGTTTAGATATTTATATAATATGAAGAAATCATAATTTTGATTTTCTATTAAAATTTGGTTAAATATTTATGTGAAGAAATCGTAATTTTGATTTCTACAAAAATAAAGTACTCCTGTCTTAATAAATTTTGGAGAGGTTTAATTTTACAATTTTATATAATATTATGTATTTTTGTTATATTAATTCTATTTTGGGTTTAGAAAAGAACAAGCTTCGTCGTCTACTTTGTCCCTAAATATTGTATAAGCTCATTCGTTAGCCTTTTTTTGAGTGAAGTAATGATTTTAAAAATCCAAAATTTTCTTTGAGATGAAGCCATATAAGTTAATTAATGATAAATTAAGTTCGTTATATCTTTAAAAAAATTTTCAAATAAAATATACTAAATTCCTTTTAATAATAAAGCTCGGTAAATACATTTTATACAGTATACGTATAATAAATTCACGAATAATTTCTTAATACAGTAATAAACAAATACGTTATTTAGTGCGAGTTTCAAATCAAATACTATCTGAAAGATTTACAGTAATATTTGAGGTTTAAATTTTTTTAAGCCCTTTTAAGCCCTTTTGACAAATGTCTAACAAGTCTTTACCTTTAATCGAAGATATCTCAAATAACTACTTAACAATTTTAATTGGTCAAAGTTAGTTGTTAAGAAAATTTGAGCGACAACCGCCTAACCAAATTTGATGACTTTTTTAATTAATGTTAAAATAAAAAGTTTTAAAGTTTGTAAAAACTGTGCTTTATGGCAGCCATTCACAATCACAAAGAATAATCGAATGTTCAATAGCAGGATTTGTCAGTAAATCGAGTTTTTTTAACATCCCTATAGTCTTGAATACTATTCTAGTGATATCGAAAAATTGATTAATCGAAAAGTTGTAACTAATCGTTGAATGATTCTCTAAATTAACGAAAAAATTTATACAAATAAATCATGTGATTATACAATTAACCAATAAAATTAAGTAAAAAAAAAAGTGATAACTAGAGGTGCGGATATTTGTCAGGTCAAGGGTAGCTACCCTCCTACGTCATATAAAATTTGGTAGCTACCCCAGTTACGGCTATGACGTATGTTATTTCATGTTCTAATGTCCGCACCTTTAGTGATAACAAATCACAACTAATTTGGTCCGATTGAAAATTTGTGCCAATTCGGATCACACAGAATCGAAAAAGTTCAAATATTACCGTTAAAATAACGTTAACGTTAAGTGATTAATTGTGATTAACCTTAATTGTACATTTAGCTAATCTAACATTTTAAGAAAGTTTAATATGCTTTAAACAAGAAGCATATCAGATTTGTTTGAGCATAATAGTAATTTTCGAGATATTCACACATTCTCGCGTTTAAAGACATGTTATTTAATTTCATGTATAAAAATTTTTTAACAATGTATGCTCATGTTAAAAAAAACATGTGAATTTTCATATTGTAATGTTTTATTATTAGTTTTGTTATAAAATATAATTACTTTTATAAACTTAGATCATTTATTCTGTAATATCAATTCAGAGAAGATGACTCTGGAAGCTATGAAAAAGCTAAAGTTCAATACTGTGTCATGATTACAGAGTTTTTTAGATTTATTGATGATATAAAAAGATCAAGAATTACTTAGCATTCTTTTATTAAATATATATATTTCTCAGCCTTTTTTTTTCAAATCATATTTTGTGTATACTAACTGCTTTGACTTATTATTATAATTTATTATTTATTTATTATTATTATTTATTATTATCTTTTCAAATAATTAAAAATGCCAAACGGTGGTGTTCATGAACCGCGTCTATCTGAATTTACTCAACGACCTAGTGAAGGTCGTTTGGGTAAATCAATACGTATTCGTTCAAATTTCTTTGAAGTACTATCATTCCCTGAACAAAATATTATTCATTATGATGTTACTATCACTCCTGACGTACCACCTGCTTTAAACCGAAAGATTTACGAAGTGTTTGAACGTGAAAATTTGGTCACTGCTCTTAATAATATTCGTGTTATTTTTGATGGTAAGTTATATGATATATGGTTTAATATATGTTGACAAAAACGCGTTTTATTTAATATATATATATTTTTTTGTTTGATTTGATTATTATTATTACAATTATTAAAAAAATTATTATTAAAATTATACTTCTTTTTATATTTTATATAACCTCAGGACGTAAAAATGTTTTTGCTCCTCAATATTTACCATTTGGTGAAGCGGCTACATTTGAAGTATATATATTTCTTTAAAATTATTATAAAAGTTAAATATATATATTTTTATTCGATAATTATTTGATTTGTATAATAGGTCACATTACCAGAAGAAGATGGTACCACGTCCGCTAGAAGAGCTCCTAGAATTTTCAGGATCAAAATGAAAAAAGCTGGTGAAATAGTTATGGGTGAACTGCATAAGTTTCTTGATGGTCAAAGTTCGCTCACTCCAAATTGTTTATCAGGTATAATATATAATCTATTCATTAATTAATTTATTTGGTTCATAATTTTATTTATAATGACAATTTTATATATATATATTTTTTTCTCAGCAATAATGGTTCTTGATGTTCTTATCCGTCACCTTCCATCGATGAAAAACACTACCGTTGGTCGTTCGTTTTTTACAAAACATGGAACTACTGCTCTGTCTGGTGGTGTGGAAGTTTGGCAAGGCTATTATCAATCCGCCCGTCCTACAAAAGGTAATTTTTGTTATTGAAAAAATAAATCATTAGAAAAAAGATAAATAAATTTATATATATTTTTAAAATATAGGAAAAATGTTGATTAACGTTGATTTGAGTGCTACCGCCTTCTACGAAGCAGGTCCCTTGGTAACGATAGTAGTAAAGATATTAGGACGCCGTTCTGTCGATGACCTCCATCGAGGAATAAGTGATAGGGATCGTATTAAATTAGAAAAAGCTTTAAAGAATTTAAAGATTAGAGTCATCCATCGAGGCAAAGAAAAATCTAAACGCCGTTTTAAAATCATAAAGGTCACTCCTACACCTGCGAATCAGACCAGATTCGATATGGGTGATGGTCAAACTGTGGATGTCGCAAATTACTTTGCTAAAACTTATAACTATAGGTTGACTTATTCGCACCTCCCATGTATTGTTGTTAAAAAAGACGTTTTTCTTCCTTTGGAAGTTTGTGAAGTCATTGAGGGTCAACGTTATACCCGCAAATTTGATGATAAGCAAACTGCTGATATGATTAAATTTACATGTCAGCCTCCTCATATGCGTGCTAATAAAATTAACCAAGGCGTTGAAATTCTCAACTATCGCGGTAACGAGTATCTTCAACAATTTGGAATGAATGTTTCCAATGATATGATTGTGGTAAATTTTTAACTTATTTTTAATTAATTAACCAGATAAGAGATTTCATATTTTATATTTTCCAGGCACCTGCTCGTATCATTCCCACACCTACACTTCAATACCATCCTTCTTCCCGTGAACCGGTACTTGTTCCACGAGAAGGTTCTTGGAATTTGAGAGACAAGAAAGTCGCCCAAGGGGCTACGCTCGGTTCATGGTCGATAATCACCTTTGGATCTGATCAAGAATTTCCCCTTCAATCCGTTCAAGCATTTTTGCGTGAACTAATCATCACATGTCAAGATAATGGAATGGTTTGTAAAATTTTTATTAAAATGATTAGTTAATAATTAACTTTATATATATATATATATGTATATACACTGTATATACACGTTTATAGAACATTCCAAATAAAACACCACCAATTATGCACGCAAATCCACAAGGAGATGTTGAATCCGTTCTTAAAGCAGCATGGCTTCATGCTGGTAATGCGGCTAAAGCACAACCACAACTTATTGTGTGTATTCTTCCAAACACTGGTGTCCCTCTGTACGCAGAAATAAAGCGTGTTACCGATACAGTCATTGGAATTGCAAGCCAATGCATACAAAGTCGACATATGATGCAAGCTAAGAAGCAATATTGTGCAAATATTTGTCTTAAAATTAACGTCAAACTTGGTGGTATGAACGTTTTTATTAGTCCTTCACAAATTCCTTTCATCACCGATTGTCCTACAATTCTTATGGGCGCTGATATATCTCATCCTTCTCCTGGTAAATACTTATATATTAATATATAAGGTGAATATGAGTAAAGTGATGGATTAATAATATCATATTATTAATTTACCATTATACCTATATCCTCCGAATTACCCATATTCACCTTATATATATA